AGAGATATTACATCATGTGGTCCAAGGTCACTGACGACCCATGGACATATACTTACGTAAGATCCGCCGACGTGAGGTGTTAATTGACGTTTATAGCGTTGGGAATTAACGGTCCTGTCCGGACGGGCTTTATAATGACAGGGGCGTTTGCTGTGTTTATAAAGGGAAAACAACGGACAGAATTTCAGTGCAGTTTGGATACACATTGAAAAGATTAGGTGCATGTATATTGAAAGCCTTTGAATTTCGTTTTTTTATCATCCTGACCCTGGGGACAAGTGTACAGCAGTCTTCAATGTTTACCGGATCCTGCTCAAACGAAACATTAATAAGCATTTTCAGTTCCAATTTGCAATACAATTGAAGCACTGAGAGCTGATCAAGAAATATAGCCTTCAAATGCTACTTGTCGATAAGAACAACCTGTTTATTCCTACTTCTCAGCACACTGTAACAGACAGGCTAATGTGACTGTTTCAAGGTGTTTGACTTAAAACTAACATGGATGAGGAAAGGATTTATTCATTTGTAATAACGGAACAAAATACAAAATAAACTGAAATAGAGCCAACATCAATGATATGGCTGAAATGTAGGCTCGCCGAATTAGAGTGTTGTGTTATCAATGCTCAAGGATGTAGTATACCTCAGTACATATCAGTAGCCTTAAGTATGCTTTAGTATTGATAAAAGAAAAAGAAAAAAGTGTGCACGAGTGCGAACACACGTGAAACATGTCAGTACATTTGTACTCGTGTCGTGTCGTTGGTAATCGGAAAAAAGGCATCAGGAAAAAAAGAATCGGAAAAAAAGAATCAAGTTTTGCTAGGAAAAAAAGAAACAGGAAAAAAAGAACCAGTTCACACATTTATTGGTGGAATAATGAACCAATATCATAACCTATATAATAATAATATATAATATAATACATGTATAATCATATATCAATTTGACTTGACCCGAACTGTGGGCTGGGTTCCAATGGATAACTGGTTCATATACGTGTCAACCAAGGGTTGGTCTTTCTGGAACCATTGTATAGCTTCCACACAGATGGATGGTGGGTTTGGGCCTGTCGTGGTTTTAAACTCCTCTGGAATGGTCAAGTCTTTGATGTCAGATGGATACAGTCAACTGTCACTGTTAAGATTACTTCGTGGCGCCTAGACTAACGCGAAGTCTGTGAATATATATTATTTTGATAGAAACAAACAACTCCTTTTGAATTGAAAAGGAGACCCAGTGAGAAGGGAGATTCAGAACCTGGGAGTGAGTGAGTGAGTGAGTTAAAATTTAACGTCACATCGGCAATATTTCAGCCATAAAGTGACGAGAAAAGGTTGACATATACATTAATTACAAGTAGTTAAATAACAAGTCATCGAATAACTGTAAAATATCTAGAGTATCACAGATGGTGTCTAAAACTAGCTGGTAAATGTAAAATTAATTTATTTATGAAGACAATACAATATAAAAATGGGCTATAGATCGCCAGCAACCGAAGGTAGATCACCATACTAAGGACCATGGGGACTTACAGTGCCTTTACTACCTGGATGGACCCTAGCTGGATAGAACCTGAGGAAATCTAAACTTGTTTCATTTATGGCTTTAGCACTGCAGAAAGGGCCGGACAGAAGGAAATAATGCAGTTCATGGACTGTGAGACAGGCTACATGTCCTCCATCCTGGCCTGCTTATCCTGTATACTTGATGCGTGTTATCGATAACATAGGGTCACTTAGATAGATAAGATATACATTTATATATGATAGTGTCATATGAAGTAGAGAGTAAAATGTATAACATGTTATTCAAGTAATAAAAAATGACGATACACAAACCAAACGGCTTATATAGGAGTCATATGTAGATTATTAAATGGAGCAAATATTAAACTGTGGCAGTAAACTCGACACATTTGGTCTTGTTATTCAATATTTAATTGTAATGCAATGTTTCTGTGATTGCCGCAAGCACAAGCCATTTTAAAAACCATAATAATCAAATTGCCAAACGTTCGACGCTTAATTCCTTGGAAATTCAAGTAGAACTTTTGTCGTCTTTGTATACTAAACTGACGCACAAAAGAAAGTAAACGCAGTGTGTTACAGGATTATTTAAGCAAAACCAACGTAAATATTTTAATATTGTTTGTGACTTGCAAATCACATTGTGTACATGGTCCCCAAACACCGGATTTCACAACTGTATACTTTGTTTTGTACGTCAGTATGTACAGTACGTATTGACCTCTGTTAACTTCTCAATATGTTACATATATAGCCTTGAGTGAACTACGTATACAGCTCCGTCAGTACAATAGGTGTTCACCTGGGATATGTCATGTCAAGGACGCTTATTCGGAGCGATCAGTTTGAGACATTGTTTCTACCGATAACGTTGTTTTAAGGGGAGGTTTACGTCAGCTACAATGGCAGCCTCAGCCTTGGCTGAAGTCGTCCACACTCATCTGGTCTGTCAGCTTCACACCTTTCAAAGCATTTCTTAACATTCGACGGATTACAAACTAGACAGACGTTTATTGTCTCAGTTATTTGACCCGTGAAGATCCGGGTTAGATTTGGTCTTCAGCAACCCATGAAGATCCGGGTTAGATTTGGTCTTCACCAACCTATGCTTGTGGTAAGGAGCGACTAACGGGATCGGGTGGTCAGGCTCGCTGACTTAAGCTTGGTTGACCGTATCCCAATTGCGTAGATCGATGCTCATGCTGTTGATCACTGGATTGTCTGGTCCAGACTCAATTATTTACAGACCGCCGCCATATAGCTTGAATATTGCTGAGTGCGGCGTTAAACAACAAACCAAACCAAGGATATAAAAATTATTTTTGTTTGGTATTGAAATAGCGTTGTTTCGGTATAGATCCTTTTCTCAGACGTTTACGGGTACGGTGCGGATAAACATATATGGGGCGAACCGGGATTAGAACTCACGATCAAGGACGTAACTCTTACACTACTCAGCCACCCGCGCCCTCACCTGGTGGGAGGATCATTGTCTCCCTTTGATAGACAATACCTGGTCACAGGAAAACTTATCAGGGTAAAGCAGATGTTTGCATGGTATTGCTAGTACTTTATTAAGTGCGTGCGTCCGTGCGTGCGTGCGTATGTGTGCACGTGTGTACGAGTGCGTGCGGGTGATCGTGACCCTTACTTTATCTGTCTCTCAGTGGCCAGGGCCCCGTTCCTCAAAGCGACCGTAGCGCTAAGGTGATCGTAACTCCCATACTTTAACATAGACTTACGACCGTCGTAGCGATACGATCGCTTTGAAGAACGGGGCCCAGATGTTGTACGTTGATATGATCTATTTATATGCCTGTATCTCCCACAAGATTTTTTTTCCTTTTTCTCTTTTTAATATTCATGCGGTGTTAGCTTGTTATCATGTCACATACAACACCCTTGTTTATTACTCGTATCAGTGTTCTATGGCCCAGTAACGGAGACACGTGACGGTATGAGTAACACACGTGCTATGCTGGGCATTATTGTAAACAGTCAATTTTATGTCGTAAATGCTAAGTTTGATTAATGTCAGTAAAGGCCAGTCGCATTTCTTACATTGGTAAATTATTTACCTGTATTTCAAGATTTACAGTACTGTTGAAAAATATATTTCGAAAATAAGTTTATAAACTTCAGAAACAAATGCGGCTAAATGAATTACCAAAGGAATCCATTAATCTAAGATTACATATAATATTATATAATGTGAGTGAGTATGGTTTTATGCCGTTTTAGCAATGTTCCAGCAATATCACGGCGTGGGACATCAGAGAATGGGCTTCACAAATGGGGGAATCCAACCCGAGTCTTCGGCGTGGAGAGCGAACGCTATAACAACTTGGCTACCATACCCCAAAGGTAAATATGTGAGTGAGTGAGTTTAGTTTTACGCCGCTTTTAGCAATATTCCAGCATATCACGGCGGGGGACACCAGAAATGGGCTTAACACATTGTACCCACGTGGGGAATCGAAGCCGGGTCTTCGGCGTGACGAGCGAACGCTTTAACCACTAGGCTACCCCACCGCCCCAGGTAAATAAGTGATCAACATGCTCGATGTGTTGTGCAAAGTCCCATCCGGGATGCAAACACTCACCAATGGAAGCCTCGATGGCTGAGTGGGTTAGATTGCTGACTTTGTGTTCTGGCGATTAGGGTTTGAATCCTGGATGGGACTCAACCCAACCAAAGTACTAGAATCTGTACTCTACTGATATAACACATGTTGCATTATACCATTGCCGTTGTGTAGTTACAGCTGGGAATTAGCCGTATCTCATTAGCATAATCCCGATGTTGTGTACTGTGGAAATAGTGTACTGTTGTCAGGTGGTGGGTGTACGACGAGAAAATCGAAACCGGTGTTTGCCTTATAGGGGAGGTATTATTTTGAACACAAAGCCCTGGCCAAGAACCCAGTGTCTGTCTCACATGCTTAAATATCAAAGACATTATTTGAATCTATTCATGTATAGGTTTGACGTAGACGGCTACAGGAACACACTGTATTGTATGGGCGCTATTGTCCCAATGAATACGGTAGCTAGTGTGTCTTTAACCGTCACGCGAGATGTAATATATCCTGTACCAATTTTTCACATAAATTTTTAAAATGTTATTGCTTTCCGATTAAGATTTAAAATGCAGTAGAGAGGGTTCGGGTGATCCTGGCACAGTCAGGCTGGTAGGGCTCATCATCACCATGCCCCCTCTAGACGCAGCCCGGTCAGCGAATGGGTTTCACCCAGCAAGCCCTGCCTTGACGAACCTAGACTTGCACAAGTCTCTAAAGTATTAATCAATACTTTAAATGATCATTTCTAAAAATAACATAACTAACAGACTGGCTTGTACTGTCCCTTTGTCTAGACTTGCCTGTTTCAAGGATAGAATTACTATACATCCATGGGCTTAGCGTTTATTACAGCCTTGGGCTTAGCTTTCAGTACAGCCTTGAGCTAAGCGTTCAGTACAGCCTTGGGCTTAGCGTTCAGTAAAGCCTTGGGCTTAGCGTTCAGTACAGCTTTGGGCTTAGCTTTCAGTACAGCCTTGGGCTTAGCTTTCAGTGCAGCCTTGGGCTTAGCGTTCAGTGCACCCTTAGGCTTAGAGTTCAGTGCAGCCTTGGGCTTAGCTTTCAGTACAGCTTTGGGCTTAGCTTTCAGTGCAGCCTTGGGCTTAGCGTTCAGTGCAGCCTTGGGCTTAGCGTTCAGTACAGCCTTGGGCTCAGCGTTCAGTAGAGCCTTGGGACCCAAATTTATTCTTATTGTTCTCTGCATGTAAAGATATTTACCTGGTGACGTTGGTGTGAAGACAATTAATCCCGAACTACCTATAACACCAGGACATTGATGGGAGGATTAGTATTTATAAAGTAATGAATTATTTATCATATTCATGCTCACATATTCAGGTGTAACGACATACAGATTACATTTTGTTAGATGTTGGATGTAGTTACTTGAATAATGACGACTTCAACATTTGTTATATATGTATTTGTGAGGAATCACGGTCCCCGGAATAACAAGATACAGACCAGAAACGAGAATAAATTGATCCGCAATACAGTGACATGCTAGGAGACAAAGTCATGGTGAATATACTGGACAAAAAATATAAAATAGATGTCGAAATTCTTTATAATTTAGATAATTATAAATCGAAGATAAATTGTAGTGTACCATCATTTCTACAATTTTGGTCTTCATGCCATATGCTCTTTAGTTGAAGATGCTATCTATTTACATGTAGTTTATTCCATATTCTCTTTACATCTGGGAGATCATTATCAAAATTCCAGGAAATGTCTGGAAATGGTGGACTATTCACTGTATATTGACTTTGTAAGTGAAATTTAAAAAAACCATTCAGGGATATAGTGAATAGTTTGGTATTTTAGTAATTACACTGTATGTCCGCAATATGAAAACATAAAGCTGCAATGTGAAGACACATTTGAACGCAATGTGAAAGCACGCAATGTGAAGACGAAACCGGTGTTTCATTTGAACGCAATGCGAAGGCATATAGCCGCAATGTGAAGACATGTCTGCCTGCAATGTGAAGACATGTCTGCCTGCAATGTGAAGACATGTCTGCCTGCAATGTGAAGACAGTAATGCTCAACATGAAGCCATATACTCGAAATGTAAAGACTCCGGCACTCCTTGTGAAGCTTTAGTCCACAAATACTCCATGATACACAACGGTACATTGCCTAATCCGCTGTACAAAAGAAGCTTTATGTACACTGCCCACGCCTTATGCTATTAATATTGATATGTGTGACAGGTGACGAGGAAAACAGACAACTACAAGAATCCACATAAACAACCATCGTGAAGACCGATGACACCAGGTGTTGACTGACAAAAAATGTTACTTAAAAATAAAATCATACTAATTCACTTTCACTGAAGTGAACCAGTTCGATACAATGGGACTTTGAGTCAAGTATACTCTACCTTAGTAACTGCCAGAAGGGACGGTAGGGTAGCCTAGTGGTTAAAGAGTTCGAAGGCCCGGGTTGGACTCCCCACATGGGTACAATGTGTGAAGCCCATTTCTGGTGTCCCCAGCCGTGATATTGCTGGAATATTGCTAAAACCAGCGTAAAACTAAACACACCCACTGCCAGACAAAGACAAAGAAAGTCCAGCTAAACACTGCTGTGTCGAAGTTATGATTGTCACGAAGTAATATCCTGATCCCAGCGTATTCCTTCTTTAGTCACAATATCCCAGTTGTGTCGAACCTCGGATAACTCGAAGTGAGTGAGTGTTGTTTTAGCAATATTCAAGCAATATCATGGCTGGAGACACCAGAAATGGGCTTCACTCATTGTGCACATGTGGGGAATCAAAACTGGTGCTCAGCTAACGCGAACGCTTTAACCACGGGGCTACCCTAACTCTAGTAACCTAGTATATACGGTGCTCCCTTCAACGTCAACACACCTGTATTTGACGTTACATTAAAGACCCATTCCTGCATACATCTCTCCACAGATCGATCGTGTGCACGGGGATCTATTATTCAGTGCGATGGCGGGACTACGTTTTTCTCGCACGCACCTACACAAATCCATATACAAGGGAACAGCTGGGTCAACATAGACAGCTAAAACAGTTCGACCAGGCCTGACTGTATGGACTTGTTTGTTGCAAGTCTTTGAAGGAAATTTAGTGACACAAATATGGGAGAGAATATATGGCACCTTCTTTATTGTGAGGTACACTTCGTGTGGGAGTATCTATGAAGATCCGGGTTAGAAATGATCTTCAGTAACCCATGCTTGTCGTAAAAGGCGACTAACGGGATCGGGTGGTCAGGCTTGGCGACTTGGTTGACACATGTCATCGGTTCCCAATTAGGCAGACCGATGCTCATGCTGTTGATCACTGGATTGTCTGGTCCAGAATCGAGTATTTAAAGACCTATATAGGTGGAATATAGCTGAGTGCGGCGTAAAACTAAACTCACTCACTCAAGTGGGAGTACATGCCTAATGGTGAATGATCATTCAGTCGATGAAGGATTAAGCATATACACTCCGAAGCGTGGTGTTCCTCGTAATATGTTAGTTGATATCAGTACATGCTCTCCCATACTAATATTTGTTCTTAAACAGCGGGATGACCAATATTTCAGCCATTTAAAAGTATGAGAGACACAGCATCATCGCCCAAGCCATTTAGTGGCATCATACCATCGGCTGGCTTCTAACATGAAATCCCCACAAGAACTACAGGAGACAATTTCATCCACACAGTGTAGGTTTCATACAGGCGAAAGATACAACGAAACGTTCACTAACGGTGACGATAATTATACGGAAACGCCTTAAGTGAGGGTCAGAAGCTATCGGGATTGGTCACTACACATATGTCTTAAGGGGAGGGTCAAAATAAAATAAAATTAACACTTTATGAGGGTAAAGAGTGACTGGACATAAAGAGTAAATGCTACAAGGGGCGGATACAGCTTTTTATTTTAGAAAGGGTGGGTGCATACTATTGAGAAAAGGAGGTTTTAATGGTCATTTAATAAACTTTCAGGACAACCCCCTTCTCGATCCGCCTATGGGTACACATATACAGGAAACATAAGATGGCGGGATGGTTTACATGTAACACTATACAGTTTTCATGCTGCTATTAACAATATTATACAGAATGTCAATATATGTAGGTTTTATTTTCAAAAATACGAATATGTTTACAGGCCCACGTCATAAATGGCCGGATCCTAGGAGGACAATAAAATCAAACTGACTTAATAAGTTTAAAGCAATGTGATCAACCTCATGCCTACTCTACGAAATAATATCACCACTTACCTTGAATGGTGTACCGAGTGCGGCAGACACGCTGTCAACAAGTGGTTGTCTCAGAGGGGAAAACTTTCATCAGTGCGCTGCCCATATTTATACTGAGGATGACGCAATCGGGAAGAAATCCCGACAGTGAGCGACTTAGCTTGTCGCGATTGGTCAAAAGCTGACGCAACCGTCGCTTGTCACCCCAACAACGATTCGGGAAAGGCCGAACACGCCGGCCTACGTCACTCGCGGAAAGGGCCACTTTAAGTTGGAGCTTGAGTGTCAAGTGGTTTAGTCCCACTGGTTGTTGAAATTGTTTACACAGTGAGGTTTTGTGGGACCGTGTCAATTTTATTTGTCTGTGTTGGGTCAAACGTTAGTTGATGACGCAACATGGGGACATAGTTACATCATGGGCCATGTGTTTGGAGAGTCAACAGATCAATGACAAATTTAACGCTGTCTGTACCAGATGGCACGCCGTTCCAATGGCGCTCAGGAAATCAACAAGTGCGAACTACGCATTTTAAATAGAACGACTTGTTGAATATAGGTTACCTTCGTCGCAGTGATCATAGATTAGGTTCACAGGAATACATACAGAATCTATGTTCACTGATATCGATGTAAGAAATATCAGACATAATGACGAGCGAGGTTGTATGTGTATTTTACCAACATAAATTAAACAAAACAAATTTTGGATCATGAACATTCTTTAGATATTTTCAAAATATTTGAATGCTTCATCCTGTTTTAAACGCATGAGTGAGTGTTTTAAACGCATGAGTGAGTATGGCTTTAGCGATATTCCATGAGTTAGTGAGTGAGTTTAGTTTTACGCCGCACTATCAAGTCTGTACCAGACAATCCAGTGATCAACATCATGCGCATCGATCTACGCAATTGACATACGTCCATCCGATCACGTTAGTGGCTGCTTATATATGCCTAACTAAACGTAACATCGTAAGATGTTAAGATCTCACTTTTGGTAACCATCATGTGGGGAATCGAACCCAAGTCTCACCGTGACGAGCGAACGCTTTAACCACTACGCTACCCCACCGCCTGTCTCTTTAAGAAGAGTCCGAGGACTTTTACTCGTTTATCACAGACACATCCTGTTCGTTGTGCTGCTGCTATCCTATTTCAGTACTTCTTTGTACTGAACTTCACACCTAACTACCCGCATATTCCCCGAGATCCGCTCACCCCACTCCACCAAGACCCCATTCCATAACGCCACCTTAGCGTTAAGTTTGTCGTAACAACCATACTGCACATAGCCTTACAATTGTTGTAACATAAAGAACACTTGATCGAATGCGTTCACGCGTGGGCAGTCACTGACGTCGTGCACTAGGAACTGCCCTACCCGACGTGACATGCGGTATACCTGTCGAAACCAACCCAGGTCAGGGTGAACAATTAGTACAGGTATGACTTACACCTGTACAAGGTAATATATAAAAATAGTACCTGGAATGGGACACTGCTGGCAGATGTCGGGGCGCATCACGATGCAGTTTCCCGAGAATAGGGAGGTTATCATCCGGGTGATGTGTACCTGGCCACGGGCTGCTATTTCTAGACACCAGGCAATGTTTTATCTCGCTATGGAGACATAATTACCGTTTACCAAGAAACACACCTTTGTTGAAAATATATCGACCTACTTAACCATTATGCTAAACGCGTTCTTGTGAGGAACATGCATATACTATTCTAAAGAAGTAAAGAACACCCTATATGGTATCATTGAACTAAAGACGATGTGTCAATATTACTGTATAGAGATATCCGACATATCGAGAAATCCGTAAATGCTTGAATAATGATAACTTATGAAGGATTCTGCCGGGACCGAGATGTTACATCGAGACAACCGAGATATCGAGTTCGACACAACGGTGCTGGACTGTACTTCGTGTCATAGTTAATCATGAATCTCGTGTTCTAATATCTATCTATCCAATAAGAAAGTAAGAAAATTTATGGATAACAACTTCTTTATTATATATGATGCGATGTTTCGGTATGGATTCTTATACCGTTGTCAAGCAAGAGTGAAGTACTACAGCACAGAACAGACTTATATACATGAACAGGGATTAAGTAATAACAACATGTAGGACTGAATCAGGGGGATTAACAACAACAAGGCACGGTGGCAATAATGTAGTGATAATAGGAAGCCAATGGTGGTGGAGGTAAAAACAAAATATACATGCTGATGAGATTAATTAACAATGATAGCTGAGGTGCTCTAATCTGTTGTTTTTATCAGATCATTGTATGCAGAAGGGATGAGATATCCCTGGTCTCTGTTGATTGAGGGCTTGTGTCTCCGGATTTGAACTGCTTCTGCAAGTTTCCTTTTGGTGAAGTCCTGGTGGCTTTTGGATAATATCTCCACATTGTCCCAAATTATGTTGTGATTGGGGCAGTTGATGATGTGGTCTGATATTGCCGATTTTCTATCAGATTTAGTGGTAGATGATAAGTGTTCTTTGATTCTGATATTTATGGGCCGGGAGGTTTCGCCTACATACGCCTCGCCACAGTCACAGTTGATTTTATAGACAACACCTTTGGGTTGATGTTGTCGTTTAGAGGTGTTCCTGCCATTCGCTTTCAGTAGGGTTTTTAGTGGTGTAGAGCTGGTAAAGTAGGTTTCGATGCCTGCTTCTGCTTCTAACATCATATATAATAAAGAAGTTGTTATCCATAAATTTTCTTACTTTCTTATTAGTCACCAACTTTTAAATGCCAATCAAACAGATCATCTATCTATCCAGCCAGCCAACCATCCATCTTTTGGAAAATGGGCGGCCATGCAGTGTAAGACGCTATGCAGAGTTGCCTCCCCTGGACACATTTGAAACGTGTTACTGTGAGTTTAAATCCTGGTATGCCACCATAATGTGGCCAGGGTTGCCAGCAGCATACCTCTGAACACAGGTTTCCACTAAAAGGTAGACTTCTGAGACTCGCATCATTTCGGAGTTTAGCCACATATGCAATTATATAAACTGACCAGTTGAGATGTAGCTGAAATATTGTTCAAAGAGGCGTTAGGGGTGATAGGGTAGCCTAGTGGTTAAAGCGTTCGCTCATCACGCCGAAGACCCGTGTTCGATTCCCCCTATGGGAACAATGTGTGAAGCCCATTTCTGGTGTCCCCTGCGGTGATATTGCTGCAATATTGCTAAATGTGGTGTAAATCTAAACTCACTCACTCACTCAAAGTGGCGTTAAATCCACCTCATTCACTAACTCCATGTAAACATTATGTATTTATCTGTCCAGTTAATTCACAAATATTTTTACACAAAACCAAACTTCTTTAAAATATATTTACTTTTTTTGTAGTCGAAATCTAGGAGCTGTACGAAAATTATCCAAAATGTGTTATCTTACTTTCTAATACAAACAACATATTTCAAAAGCGAATAATGTGCTCGGATATTTGTCCCAAATGAACAACTGAAGTTTTTGATTTTCGTAATGGCGCATTGTCGTGGATATCAATGTTTATTTATGGTGCCAACGAGCAACATCGTGGCAACCCAACCATATTCAAAGTCAACACATTTGGCATTGTCGTCCTATCTAAAATGTATAAAAGAGGGTTTAATATGCTCGACATCGCGTTTGTGCCACAAACCGTCATATACTTAAAAGACAATATATTATGGATGTCACCTTCTTCTTTATTGTATACACAACGTTCCTGGCCATTTCCTTGCTCCTTCGTCAGGTGAATGCCACCAACTTCTATATGCCTGTCAAGAACCTCATCATACAACCTGTCATTCGTGACCAACTCGTGTTATTCCGGGACAAGCCGTATAGCGTCTTCTTGGAGGTTACGGAAAGGGGCGAGTGGTGACGAATGACAACCTGTTAATGTTGTATAATCGCGCAGTACCTATTCATGTAATACGTATTATGACCGGAAATAGCTACAATTCATTTTAGGAATGAGACAAACTGTTAAAACTATGAATATTAAAGGTATTTATATCATTATTAATTCTGCACACTGACGTGGTCTGAGCAGCCCATGTGCTCAAACGTGGAATATTACATCGTATTCAGAATTTTGAAAAAGAATACAACCACTGCTGCTTCATCTGCTTAGTTTATTTCTGTCTTTCCTTGTTAGCTGATTAACAATAATCCACCTATAGGACGAACGTCTGTAAGAGATCGAGTCTGGACCAGACAATCCAGTGACAGTCATCATGAGTTTGATCTTCGTAAGTAAGATACGAAAACATGCTTCCAACCAAGTTATCGTGCCAGACCACCAATCCATTTCGTCGCCACTTACGGGTACCAATATTCTTAGCCGGAAGCGCTGAGGGGAGACAAGCATGGGTTGCTGGGGGCAGAATTCGTATACGGAAGCGCCTCAGGGGGACAGGCATAGGTGGCTGGTGGTGTCAGTGAGGGGACTATGGTGTCAGTAGTATTCCAGCAATATTATGGCGAAGAAGTGAGTGAGTGAGTGAGTTTAGTTTTACGCCGTACTCAGCAATATTCCAGCTATATGGCGGCGGTCTGTAAATAATCGAGTCTGGACCAGACAATCCAGTGATCAACAGCATGAGTATCGATCTGCGCAATTGGGAACCGATGACATGTGTCAACCAAGTCAGCGAAACTGACCACCCGATCCCGTTAGTCACCTCTTACGACAAGATAGTCGCCTTTTTATGGCAAGCACATGGGTTGCTGAAGACCTATTCTACCCCGGATCTTCACGGGTCTCATGGCGAAGAAGACCACACACATGGCTCATAAGTTGGGAATTAAACCCAGTCCTTACGTGTGACGAACGAACACTTTGAGCACTGGGCTACCCCACAGGCCCTACTGGTTGTATCCAGCGACTGAAGACATCGAGTGGTTAGATCCGGTCGACTGCGTGTTGTCACAGCCCCGGCTGCGTTGTGTCTATCACTGATTTACCTGACCCAGTCTCTATTATTTTAATGCTGATATTATGTTGTCGTAATGAAGCTGTCCGTGGATTGTACCTATTACATTCCCCCACAACCATTACGGTAGACAAGGGCCGTCAAAACAGTTTGTCTATGGAGAGGCTAGGCTGCATGGGTGTATGCAGAAACATTTCAGTTTCAAGGCGA